ATATATATATATATCACTAGTTTTGTTTCTAACACCGCTGTGGTTTTCTTTCCGTAAAAGTACCGTGTTAAATTTTTATAAGAATTCAATAAAGTTTGCCTATTATTTCTCAGCAGGAGACTGTGCGACTGTGTGAGAACAGCCAAAGATAAGAATGTTCCCAGCAGATAAGAGGGAGGAGCAGACACAACAGACTTCCTTCGGCATGAACTAATTTCCCCTGAGTAAATTATAAAAACTGTGTAACAAAGAAACTTCGAGCCATCCATGCTGGGCACAGCAGGTGTTATGAAGCATCGATTGCTCCCTTGCAAGAATTTTTAAATAAAGCTTTGTCCAACCTATGTTGTTGAGGTGGGTAAGGTGGGCAACAACATAAGATGCTTGGGCAAAAATGCACACAAAACTAGGCTGTGATTTTCAAAAACGTCTGCTCAAAATAAAGTCACATTGCTTGCTGGCCTTTTGGTTGTAAACACTCAGCATTCTGTAACACTAAAACAGAAAATTGGCTTTTTTCCCTAGTATTTTTTCCCAAATATTTATTGGTCAAGATTGTCTAACCATTACAGCCAGTGAGATGCTAATGTTAGTTTTTATCATCTGCCTGCCTGCTGCTTCACTGTCTTCCTTTTGGGTTTAACACACCATCAATAAGCACTGTTAAAAAGGAGGCTTGTTGACCTTAAAAAGTTTAAACACAAATTAATAATAATTAAAAAAAAAACTGTCAGCATGCAGGAGCAAGAGCAAGCGGATTCAAAGTAATTATTTTTAAAATGTTTGGGGGGGAAAAAATCACAAAAAATAGGATAATTATATCCATGAAACATTTTCTGCATTTTTGTCTCTTTTAGATTGACTCGACTTACCGAAACATAAACAGCGGCAAAGGACGCAAGCGTTGCATGCTGCGATGGGAAGGATTTTCTGAAACAGATGAAAGAACCAAAATAGATTCACCCAATGGTTTCATCTGCATGAGTGCGTCAATAGTAGGGGAAAGAAACACAAACATAACAAGATCCATCAGGCGTAGTAATAATACATACATGTTTTGTTGCAATGGGTCAAACCTCCGACCAACATTCAAAGCTTCTAAGCTGATTTTATCAGCAAAGTTATTATAGTAAAATGTTTATACATAAAATAAATATTATCCAATTAGTAACTAATAAAGGAGAAATCTTGTCAGTGTCTTTCCTAAGGTCTCATATCAGTGTGTAATGAAGTCCACTAGGACTTGGACTGTGAGCTGCAGATCCAGCCTGAACCTGTGGCCCAGTTTCTCACTCAGCTCCATTCCAGTGACCTACTTCTGACAACTCCTTATAATCACTCTTCTAACCTGCCCAACGCAGCAGACACTGTGCTTCTGAGTGGGTCTTTGCATTCCAGCAGCTGTGTGTATCCTTGGATTTTTTTTTTTCATTTGCAACATCTGTGGAGTCATAAAAAATTCATCCACACATGAAAACAGATTGCATTTCTTCTCAGTGAGCTGACCCAGTTTTTCAGCTGAAATTACCAACCTAAGCACATTTTATAGTGTATTATTCCACTGTCATGCACAGATTATCATGCGTGGTGAGTGAATTATCGCCCGCCGTTGAAGAAAACAGGCGATAACATTTTCTTGTGCAAAAAAATGCTGCACAGTGTGTAGCACGTATGTGATAGGGATGACAGTTATCTGCTACCACATCAAATGTTTACTCAAAATTTAAACTGTCAATTATAGCCTTTGATTGGGAAGTTCAAAAGATATTCTGCTAACAGACAAACAGAGTTGACCTTACCATTTAATTTGCAGAGTGTATCGATCATAGCACTTGATGGGCTTGAGTCTCAGCTACTACCAAACCAAATTTTAGCTCAATATCTGTAAAATTGACTAAATTACAACCTTTCTTGTGTTAGCTAAGGCTGAGTAGTTGTGGTGGTCATCTTTAATTGGGTCCAAAACTTATCATTTATTGATGTAGGTCCAATGATTATTTGAGTGTCACATTAAAATCTGTTTAAGAGTTTGCAAGATATTTTGCTAACAATTCAGAGAGGCAAACACAAACAAGCAAAAACATTTTAAAGTGCCAGTGACATAAATATTTTTTAATAAACATAAAGGTATTATTAGCATATTGCAAAAATAATTTCCCGCTGCTGAGATGAACAGTTGTTGAGATATTTGATGTGAAGGAACAGGAAGTGATGTCAAAGGGGACAGCCTGCATGGAACAAAGCATTGGTAAAATAGCTAACGGCACAGACTGTGGAGAATAATCTGATGTTTCTTTAGATTATTTGGAGTCACTATCAGAGAGAGTTGAAGACGAGTCAGTGTTCAAATAATATTGTTTCAACAAACAAAAATTACAGAGATCTGTTTCTTAAAGAGTTCCCCTTTGATGTCACTTCCTGTTGCACATTGGCTGAGCCAAGTTCAAAAGAAAATATGCCATTTATGTGACAAAATGGGTAAAATCACATGTTTTATGCAAGGTTTCTTATATAGAAGCGAGTTTTCTTTGACTTTTTGTATTTGATAGATAGGTATGTCATAGGCCTTTTAACCTACCCTTTGATGGTGGGGGATAATTTGGTAAAACGGATCAAGTTGTTGGTACTTTTACACTTTTATGTCTTTTCCAAGACATATAAGAAAGACCAGTAATGGAAGTACTACACAGAAACCACAAGTACACAACAATATTGTGACAGTGCAGAAAGTGTAGTATAACACCAGGCTATATAAGATACCTGCTGGGTCATTGCTATTTAACTGTTCGTATCATCACATATACAGTGTAATGTTTAAAAGTTGCAACATTAATAAGGTTTTTTTCTTGTTATTATTGGGGTGGCAGGAAATCACAGTATGCATGCTAGAGTATCAGATGCATAAAGAGGCAATGTTAAACAACATTACTGTTTTAGAGCCATGTTTCTCAATACGCTACAGAAAGGCAAAGCAGATAAACAAAATTAGAACTGAGTATGAGCATTAATAGTAAATGTCTAAATCCATGCTGCCTTCACTCTTCCTGTTTAGAGAAATCATTTCTTTCCACTGCTGCCTCTGTGCTGCTCAGGATTAAGATTTGATGCAATCTAGCTTCCTCAGACAGATAATATTTAGTCATTGGCATTTAATATTGTGTAATTGTTAAGTTATTGGATAAYTTTACAATTGGATTGCATTGAGAGTCACTTGATTTGAAAACAACAAGAATAGGCTATTATAATGTATAGTGACCTAAAACCATAAACTGAAACATGTACTAAATAAATCAAGCAAAATATTTTCTGCAGAATAATACAAATACCTTTATCAGATACATATAAAACACCAAGTAAGGCTTGTATGAGAGTTAATTGGAACAAAAAAAGGGTATTTTATGTGTAGCTGGAAAATTTTAACCTTTTTTCCTCACCTGCCCTGATTGATGGCTGTCAGGTCTGCCCCAGAGCAGATCTCTTCTATGACATAAGGGTTCTGCTCACAGCTCATGTTCAGCGTGGTGTAGTTGGGTTTACAGACGGTGAGAAAGTAGGGTGTTGGGTAGCCTGTCATCAGCTGGAGGATGTCAGTAATAAGAGCTGTCGCACAAAGGCCGAACGTGTGAACACCTGAGGGCACAAGGTTGAATGTAAAATTACTAAATTATGCAAATAATTTAATGAAAAATGAGGTAAAGATGGATAAACTTTTTTCTCTTAAACATAAGCTGTATCAACATGGTGATCAACTGGCTCCTGGCCAACATGCACTATGTATTCATGATTACTGATGCATTTCATAAAATATAAGTAAAATTAGACAAGATGAAAACAACATATATGGGTTTTAAAATATGGAACATTAATGTAGTCATTGTCTGGAGCCAGAGTACCGGTAATTTTTAAGTGAGGATAAGGCACAATGTAGATTTTTTTTAAATTACAAACAAAAATCATGTGTACCAACAAAACGGAAGGCTCTGCGTATGAAGGAGTTGAAGTTACAGCCAGCTGCATTAATGTTGGCCTCAGTCCCGGCACCACTCTTCCTACGTGAAAGGCAGCAGAACAGGATGGCCTCTCCAATCATAATCTGTGAACAAAATCACGTTAGTGTTAGATTTTTACATGCAAATGTAAGGAAAACTATTTAACTGAGGAAGATGGAAAACCTCTCTCTAACCTTTATGTATGTTTTTGAACAAATATAACCTTATCTGTGCATGTCCTAAAAGGCACTTGTTCATTGTTTTCTAGATAAATAAGGGTCCCCGTGCCTTTTAGGTCATATTCACATCTGATAGTCCGGTAGACTCGGTTTGATTGGGGACCAAAATTGCAAGATTTGTTTACATTTTCAATTGGTGCGGTTCTCATTCACACTGCACTTTGTCAAACGAACTAAACGCTGTGAACAACCTGTTCCCCCCATCGCCTGTGGTGGCGCTGCGCCAAGACCCACTGAAGGAATCGACAGGAAAACCTCAGAAGAAGACACTGAGCGTAACTTCCTTCTTCACAAAATGCAAACAAACATTGGGTGACATCAGATTTTAGTGGGTGTAGGATTTATTCTTTGTTTTTGGCAAATGTGCCAAATAAATGGTCTTCAACAACGTCATCAGCATGAGATGAAGATGAGGCAGAAGCACAGAGAACGTTGCTTTTCACACAAGGCGGCAGAGACAGCTCCGTATGAGGTGGCAGTCAACGAGTACAAGCAAATCCAAGTTATACAGACCTCATGTAAGGTATTTACAAGATTTGAGTAACTTTATTACTGTTATTACTCAGAATGCCCTGCATTACAGTCTGCTGCTTTTGGAGCCGTCTCTGGTCCGCTTGGCATTCACACATGAAATCGGACCACATCAGAGTTCATTTCAACTGAACCAAGACTTAGGTTTGGAGACGGACTAGAGTTCGCCTTTTTTTTTTTTTTTTTTGGGTCCACATCAGATTTCAATTTTGCATTCACACCTCCCCAAACAAACCAGACTTTCTAAGCAAACGAACTACAGTTTGATTAAAGCGGACTAAACAGGAAGCGGACTAAACAGGGCTGGTGTGAATACACCCTCAATGTTATTTAGCATTAGCAATACAAAATACAGCCCAGTACATACCCTGGTAAGTATTAAGCAAGCAATCGATAAGTACAGGGTACCAAGTTACATCATAATACAGCCCAGCCTCACAGGAACCTATGAGAGGCCCTTTAGGCCATAATTCAAACTTGCTCTCACGTGTACTATCAAACTCTCCCACACATACTATCAAACCCTCTCACACATGTGTGAGAGGGTTTGATAGTACATGTGAGAACAAGTATGAATTTTGGCCTAAAGGGCCTCTCATAGTAATCAGGTAAGTACTAGTTATGTACAGGCTGAATACCAGGAACATACACAGTATGTACCAGGTCTGTTCATCTGACTTGAAAAGGCATATGGTTAAAGTACAGCTTAAAGTCACTCAAAACTTCTAGCAAGGAAACAGCTAAATGTGCGATATTTTTTTATTTATTCATCGTTATTTATCCAGGCAAATCCCATTGAGATTTCACAGATCTCAACTGCAAGGGTGGCCTGGGCCTGAAGGCAACCTATTGTACAAACTGTGCTGTGGGGGAATCCAGAGTACCCAAAGAAAACCCACGCAAGTGAAGAAATTTATTAGTCATTTAGATACTGATTTTAAAAGCACTACAACATTTAAAACTGTAAGAAAATTTAGTGTTCGTTTACTGAAATCGGATCTTACCCAGGTATAAACCACATGAATATTGAATAGATTAAAATATGAAGAGAATGACCATACAAATACCAGTACTGGATGGATTCTAAACACTGGTTTAATTGCTCACAGCATCAGCATCAACCAAGCGCTGCCAGAAAACCGGAAGTGCAGCTCATTTTAACATGGTTCTTCAGTGTCTGGCACGCCCCTTACAGGCCTACAGCTGAGTCCCAGACACTCCAACAAAATCACTTTCCTTACGGTTCATTAATGGGTTTATATACGTGTTGTTATGGTGTTTCAGGCATGTAACTAAAACTATTTTAATCAAGACATAACAATAATTACACAATAGTTTATAATACTCAATACTTAAAGAGGAAAACTATGAAATGGTGTAGTGCTTTTAAAATCAGTATCTAAATGACTAATAAATTTCTTCACAAGCACAAAGAAAACATGCAAACTCTGCACATAAAGACCCCAGGTCCAAACCAGGGATCAAACACCTTCTTGCTGTGAGGCATCAGTGCTGACCACTGAGCCGTCACGCTGCCCGATAGTGGCTCACTAATACCAGGTTTGGTTGCCTCTGCTTTAAACTTTTCGAACAACTGAAACTCTAAACGTGATCAGACATGTCAGTTTTCTGTTGTGGTAATGTTGCTTACGGTGATGGCTGGTCCAGCGAATGCCAGGCTGAGCAGCATCAGCAAAGGGACGACCTCGTGGTTAGGGTCGATGTAGGGTAGACTCAGGCTGCGGTCGTGACAGTTGTAACCAGATTTAACTGGCTTGAACACATCCGTCCACTCCAGGAAATAAATACTAACCATAGACAACACCAGGATCGGCAGCTACACAGAAACAAGAGGGGCAAATGGAGAAAATATTACTGCTCAAAGTCASAACAGCAGAAACTTTAGCAGATTGACAGTGAATAAATAAAGAAATAAACAGGCAGTGAGGGATGCAAATGTCCGCATGACCWTTGGTTCAATGACCATGTTAATTTGATTGAAAAATGACCACAGAGGCATGAAAAATACTTTTATAACACAAGGCTAGAACTGAGAAAAAAATAAAGCATGGAATGAACTTAAAAGATCTCATCTCAAATCAAATCTGCAAATCTAAAACCCCTACTATTATACTGTATCTTTCATAAGATCTTAAAAAGTATAAATGAAACTAATAATTCCAGAGCATCTCAGTCCCCAAGCATGAAATGAACTGAAGTGCTTAGTGCTGGTGTTGTAATCTCTGCTGAACAAATGTTAGTGGAGGATTGGTCTGTGGAATATATTTGAAGACAAAGCTCACATAAGGCTCAGCTGGCACTATAAATCCCGCTTTAGACACGCCGATAGGCTGGCTCCAGAAAAAGCACAGCTGACCTGTCACAGTGAACTGTGACAATGTTCCGTTCAACTAGAATATCCAATTTTATTAAAAACATTGAGAGACCTAAGATCATAGAGGACATGGTCCATATAAAGTGTCCTCATCATGAAACAGCAACATATCTCTAAAACATAAAAAGCCTATAGCATGAATTCATAATCTTCTAGCCTTTTATTGCTATTATAAATCCAATCTTGGTCAATATTAATGGGTATTTTTAACAAGACTGAGTGACTGTGCATGAAGGAAAATAGTGAGAGTCCATCAAGACACCTGTGAGCACTCTGGAGTTTCATCAGCTGAGATGGGGGAAACTGTGCATACAACAATGATTGCTTGGGTTCTTCACCAGTTATGGGAGAATGGCACAGAGAAACTCACAGCTGGGAAAAAAAACAACCAAAAGACTTGTACTAAATCTTGACTAAAGTTTGCCATGTGGAAGACTTCAAGGTCAAGTGCTTCTTGGTATCGGATGTGAAAAAAATTGTAGAGATACAGTAGATGATAAAATGAATGGTGCAAATAGGGAATCCCTTGAGGAAAATCTGACAAACTGCAAAGGAACTATGTCAGAATGACCTAGGGCAGGGCTTCCCAAGTTTTCCATGCCATGGCCCGCCAAACAGCATTATATTCTGACCGGTGACCCTCTCTGCAAACCCACAAACAATGCTACAAAATATGTAGAAACACCAACTTTTAGAATGTTTTTCTCATTTTTATTCACTATTCAATAAAAATTACATTTGTACAGAAGAATTACATTAACTAACATATTTTAAACACTGTGTTATATTCCCACTGAAAAAAAACTATTTTTCAACAAATTTGACAATAAGAACAGAAATCAAACCTCTCTTAAGTTTAAACAACATTTCAATAAACTATTATAAATTATATTTTAGAATAAGTATAGAAAAAAACATTCAATTTTATATAGTGATTTAAAACTTTACCCGCAGCTTTCTGAGGCCCCCCTAACGTCCAGGGACGTTATGGGGGGCCTCAGATCCATGTGTTTCATGGATTCAGATCCATAAAACACAAGTAAACTCCTATGATCCTCTGCAAGGGTAAAGATCTGGACCACTGTTCTAAAACCTGGATGAAAACCACACTGTTMGTCCTCAATCTGAGGAGGTTTTTTGTGTAAATTGGCTTTAGAAACAGAGGCATGGTGAGTTTTAATTCCTGGTTTAATAATAAACTTATCAAATATGGTCAGTCTTATTTAAGCTGTCCAGGAGGGGGTGTGGGTTGCATCAGTGACCACCACTTGCACTGTTACATTGTGATGTGATTAATTTTGAATTGTCATGAAGTTCAGGGTGCTGAGGTAATAAAAGTGAATCAACTTGTCAGATGCCATTTTAGTTAACGACTTTTGCATTTACAGTGACTCTGCACGGTCCACGCACTGTTGGAACCCATTTGACTCATGGAGCAAATGGATGCACAAAGCTTTCAGTGTTGCTTTGTTAATATGCATTCCCCACTCTCTGAACTTAACCCTGCCTCCATCTCTCTCACTCTCTCTGATTTCTTGAAGCACCAGCTCCAGTTCAGTATCTCAGCATGTGCAAATGAGAAATATAGGTCAGAGATACTCTTTGTAAATGCTGATCTGCAGCAATACTGATTTTTTTTTTCATGCATCAAAGCAGGTTTTCATGGTGTACTATAAGCCAAATTCTGGTATTTTTGAAAATACAGGATGATCTTCTTGGGTGTATATGTACATGCTTCTTGATTTATTGGGCTTGCCAACCATATATTTAACTTTGAATTAGGACTGCTCAGTTATGATAAAAATAAACACACTTGTGTTAGTCAGTGTTGTTATCACGATTATTTAAATGCTTGCTCACTGTATTTGGAAATGTTGCATTTAAAGAAACTTCACTGTCTTTAATGTCAAATATTCCTATCCTGGTGAATTTTCATTTACAATAATCAACTATATAGTATTTAAGGAAAGTGCATCATTTTGCATTTTTGGAATCTACGCTAATCACTTTATAGATAAAAAAAATCACAATTATAAAACAATTGCGCTGTGATTCCAAAAAGTCTCCACTTGTCTCTGCGTGGTTTATTTTGGTTCAAATGAGTAAAAAAATCCTCACTTGTTGGATGGAAATCAATACTTGTCATATTCAAGTGACTAAAAAGCATTAGGTATGTATGTGTGTGTGTGTGTGTGTGTGTGTGTGTGTGTGTGTGTGTGTGTGTGTGTGTGTGTGTGTGTGTGTGTGTGTGTGTGTGTGTGNGTGTGTGTGTGTGTGTGTGTGTGTGTGTGTGTGTGTGTGTGTGTTCTTTTGGCCATATCATTAGCAAAATATCTCATAAATCATTGAAGACAGTTTACTAAAACTCACTGTAACTAATTACTTCAAGTACATGTATGACTGAATAACTTTTGTAGTCAGGCCAGTTGATTTTACAAATAGTGAGCTAAAATTCAGTGTTGTAGTCAAGACCAATTCCCAAGTGCAAACTGATAGCATTTAGATCTATGTTTAAAACTTAACGAGCACTTTCACAAGACATTTCAGTGAAATTTCACATTTCAGTCCAGCTGCACTGAGAGACACATTAAATGTCCTCTTTTACTTTTCAAAACATGACAACTTAACTCAGTTTAGCAATTTTCTTTTTAAAAACAAAATTGTAAGTTGCTGTTGTTGTATCATTGATATTCCATCAATAATAAATCTGTTGTTGTTTAATCCCAAAATTATAGTAATTAAAATGTTTTGTTCAAATAAGTAATCTCTGTACAGGTAAGACATTTTATCTTAATTTGGCCTCTATAATTGTGTCTTTAGTGTTAATTAGCTGTGGCATGCAAATGAGTTGATGTAATTCAATGATTACTTTATGAGAGTTTCATTAAAATCTATTAACTACTCCTTGGCTACGTTCACACTGCAGGTCTTAATGCTCAATTCTGATTTTTTTTAATAATCCGATCTTTTGGTGTGAAAGTTCACATTATATTTTAAATGCAACTTGCATCAGACTCCTGTGTGAACTCTACACTGCGCTGATGTGACACGCATGTGCAATAAAAGACTCATCAGTCTCATCAAAGTCTCATCAGCCGGCTCCTTTGTTTACAGAGCTAGCATAGATGCTACTTTTTACACGTCGAATCTGAAGTTGTTGTTTAATCAGAGCCGATTAAATCTGACGTGCTTGTTTAGTTCAGTGTTTATATCTGAACCTGCCTCTGACCGGGATGCTCCAGTGAAGCTTTTTAGTTTTGGAACGAAACAACGAGCTGGAAATAAAGTATCGACTGAGTAACTTTAGGATCGATACGCTCCAAGACCCAGGCTGGATGTTACTATCTACATGGAAAATGAAAAGTAAAAAGATGAAGCAACTGGACTTGTGTTTTGGAGCTGTAAACACATGGAGCTACAGATTTAAACAGCGAGACTTGAGGTTAGTGTCTTATTGATCCTTCACCCCCTCACTGATGAAAAAGTCTGATGAATGTGACATGAGCGTTCACACTGCAGTCGCTTGAAAAACATCTGATTTATAACTACATACTGAAACGGCCTGGGTTGGATTTGAAAAAAATCGGATTTGTTGCGTTCAGACTGTTCAGACTGTATAAGAAAATCGGATATGGGTCGCATTTGCCTGCAGTGTGAATGTAGCCCCAGATATATTTTGCTAACAGATACAAACACAAAGACACAGGCAAAAACCTGATCACATTTGTCTTTGGCAATATTATTTTTTCTTTTAATCTTGCTAATCACCTGTTCTTTTATGCCTCAGATTGGCTGCTTGCCCAGATACAGCTTTTCCAGCCCAGCGGTTTACAGTCAGAAGCTGTGAATACTAAGCCTAAGTGCTAAGTTTACACTCAAGAGTGATTCATGGTCTACTGGGAGTGTTTGTAGAAACTGTTGTCCATTTGGCACGTTCACACAGAAGCCTTTAGTGTGCACTTAGACAGTTTGCAACAAATCGAGATCACAGACAAGTCCTCGCTGCAGCAACATACAGGAGAGAACCCCATACACACCCTCTAGTGGTAACAGTAGAGCTCCAGAACCATGTGAAAGTGGTGGGCAAAAACTCAGGTTTCAGTTACCAATAGAGTACTTCATGTTTGATTATGTTTTAATCAAGATGGCAACAAAAGGAAAAATAAACACGAATTCATAYAAAAGATGCCATGTTGATCTTCACAGGTGACACAGAACTGTACTTAGTTCACTATTTTAACAAAAAATAAAACAAATAAATAACAAAAAGTCCAGTTGTTTTGTGTCTTAACTTTTTAGGATTTATCCTGTTCTGGATAACTGAGAATTTACATCAGCAACAAGCTTGGATGTGTCTTTATGTTGAAAATTCCTATATTAGTCAAACCTAGACTCAATTTGACCTTATTTGTGTCGACTGAAAATATCGGTACGTGYTGTTT